GCTCCTCTGCTGCCGCGCAGAGGGAAGGAGGCGCGGGGTGCTGCCCGGCCAGCCCGGGCTCTGCCGGGGGTAACTCCCCGCCGCCGCCAGCGCCGCCGTGCCCCAGAACGCGCCGGCCGCTGCCCGCGTAGGCACGGCACCCTTTGGCAGCGCTGGGAGCATCCCGCGGCGGGACACGGGAGAGCGTGGCCTTGGTTTGGGAAGGGAGGCGTGGGGGTGTGCCGGCGCGCCGCTTGGAAACGACCCACCCCTCTCACTTCGTGAAACATCAGGTCAAAAGGTGCGGCTCGGCTCTGCCGGTGTCTTGGTGTGTTTTCTCGCCAAGGACGGCGAGCCGTTCCCGAGGCGGAGGGGAGCGCCCTCATCCTTCTCGGCTCCCTCACCTCAGGAAAGGCAGGTGTGACTACCCTTCATCCCGCCCGACTTCACTTCGCCTTAAAAGTAGCATCGGTGCCAGCAAGTCGTGGCAAGCCGAAGGACTAGGTAGCAGGAGAGAGGGACAGAAGTTAAAAAAAAAAAAAAAAAGAAAGAAAAAAGGTGGGGGGTGGGGATGAAGAGGAAGGGCATCTCCCTACTGGCAATACCTGTGCTAACGCAAGAGCAGAGCCGATCCTCCGCTGAAACTGGCGGACCTTGAGCTAAATTAGGATTCAGGAGGAGGCTGGAGGTGACGGCTTTCTCCCTTCCCGAAGATGCCTCTCCCATCGAGGAGGGAGGAGAGAGCTTGGCCCTATCAGTCCGTGCTTTGAGGCTGGCCGTCCACCGAGCGCTGCTCCGCTCTGTTCTCAGGGATGCAGTCCCCGTCAAGCGAGGCGGTCTAGCCCCCTGTCACCAAAGCTCTCTCTAAGCCTAGCCTTCGCTAAGCCAGGCAAAACAATAAGGCAGGTGTGTGTAGCGTAGCGCCGACCCTGCACAGAAAGCAAGAGAAGGGTGACAGTCGCCCCGCTCCATCCAGAAAAGCCACGGCCGTCTTCCCGGGCAAGAGTTTTGCCTGTGGATTGAAGGCAATTGAGGTGTGTGAGAAGTAAGTTCCCGAGGGCAATTTAAAACTTTATAGTGACTGTTCTGGTTGACAAAAGCCTGAAAAACTATGTTGCCACGTGGGGAGGGATACAGCGATAACGGGAGGAACCCAGAGCTGGCTGCCAGCAGTGTATCATTCGTAAATCGTTAGCCCCTGAAATCTGAACTGGCCTGTTGGATGTCAGGGCGATCACCCGAGGTGTTTTTCTTCGAGCAGTTGCCTCAGAGGCTTCGAGAAATACGTCTCGCTTTCACAAACACCTGGATGGACGGCAGACCTGCGGTGATGCCGCTCAATAAACGAGCGTACTAGCAGAGTAGCAACTAGCCCGTGCATCCACGTACTTTTCCGATAGCTCGGGACGGGCTCCCCTTAAATGCGGGCTTGTTCCGACACCCCCTTGCCTAACAGAAGTCCCACCTTGGAGGCCGGCGGGAGCGGTGGGGCCAGGGCTGGTGGCACTGCAGCCCCGGTTTCCCGCAGCGATGCCCGCCGGAGGACGGTACCCAGCGACCGGCTTCGCCGCTCCCGGCCGGCCCCCCCACGTCCTCCCGGGGAAACAGCGAGTTACCGCTGCCCCCGAGAGCCAACGGCCGCTTTTGGGGAGGGATCGGAGAAGAACAAACGCAAATGGCGCATTTAGGGTCTCACCGGACTCTTGGGCTGGATCGGTCCTCCCGCGAAAAATAAAATCCGGCTGCAACGGAGATGAAGAGGGTTAATCTGCGAAAGGGCCAGGCTAAACCCGCACACGTGCCCATACGGGGGGGGGGGGGAACGCCGAGTTACTAATTGATGAGGTGAGGCAGACAATGACTTTCAGATCCAGGACTTAGAATTTGAGGGTAGGAGCTAGGCTTTTAATCGGTTAAGACGGGATTAATCAGTAAAACACGAATAAAATGGTTTCGGGGAAAATGCACAGGCACATCAGGGAAGATGCCCGAGTGTCGGCTCTCGCCGTGCTGGCAATATAGGGAAAAGCTCCCCAAGATGCACAATGTAAATGTCTCTGCCACCGTAAGCGTCTCCTAGTTTCTCAGGGGCAAAGCGAGTGCTTTGGACAATAACCTGAAACTTTTTGAAAGCAAGGGCTTCCTCGCAAAACTTGGCTTTCCAAAATTTTGGCTACTGACTCTGGTTCTTTACCTTTGATTATGCTCTTCACTTGACTGCTCTGGGTCAGGTATAATATTATTAAATAGAAGTTACTTAAGAAAGGGATTTAAATTAGTCTTTTCCTTCGCGCACTCAGCAGAGATTGTAGGTAGACATTTAAAGTTTGGGGTTTTTTTCTCCCCCCTCCCCGTTCTCCACTTCTACTTGCAACGCCTGACTCGTAGAGACACAACCAGCTTTGATGCTCAAATCACTCCCCCGGCGGCGGGAGCGGAGGGCGGGCGGCACGGCAGGCCGGGTCCTGCTTGCCCCCCTGCCCCAGCGCTGCTGGTACCCGCGGGGGGACAAGCACCCGCGTGGAAAGGTGGGCTGAAAAGAGCTTCTTTCCCTCTCCCCCTTCCCCCCCCCCCCCAAGTAAATCTCTTTCAACCTATTTGTTTATTTAGCCAATAAAAGTCGGACTAATCATTTTAACACTGACACGTCCTATAGCATCTCGCTAATCGAGCTCTGGTAGGTGCTTACGTTGGGCAGGGTTTCTTCCAACTCTAGCGGCAGAAAAGAGAGCAGGCTTCCCTGTTCCTCGCTCAAATCTACAGCCTGCCCGCTGTAATACAGTACGTCTGGAGGACAGATATGAATTGTTGCACTGTTCATTGATTCCTACTAATGAGCCGGTCTAAATCAACACTGGCGCTAAGTAGCTCGTCTCAAAGCGCACAGACGATGCTTAGGCTGGTTCTTTCACTGTTTCCCGCGAGCCGCGTCGCGGCCAGTAACAAGAGCTGACCGTAAGGGTTTGGAGAGAACAGCGTAGGAATTTTTGCATGTCTCCGGTTTTTGTGCTAGGCTTCGCGTAGCTTTTTAAACTTAATGAAAGGGACGTTAAGAAATTACTCCAAAGGGCCCGCATTTCCCGCTCGCTGGTTCCCGGGACTAGCTTGACGCCCGTTTCCCCGGGGATGCTTGGCACGTCTCGCCCTTGGGACCAAAGACCTGGCCCCTGTTCCACCTCCCGGTGGTGCGGTGCCCTCGGGTGCCCTTCGTGCTTGCCGCTCGGAGCCGGGCTGTACGGGAGCGAGGGGCCGAGGGGGAGGAAAGTGGGTACGGGGGCTGCGAAGGGGCTGGGGGGAGGAGGGAGCTTCCCTGCTCGGGCTGCTGTTCCCTGCCCTCTGTTTTGAAAGCGGATCTCGCTCTCACATGGTGTTTCCTCAGCATCTCCCCCCGCCCCCGCCGTCCCCGGCTCCACCTCGCCCTGCTGAGGAGGTGTGAACGAGAGGGGAGCCGGGGAGCCGCTTCTCGCCCCTTTTCCACGAGGCGCCAAGTCCCCGAGCGTCTGTCATGTGATAGCAGGAGAGCCGGAGCTGCGGGGGTCTCCCGGCTCGGGCATCATTACAAAACCGCGCCGGAGCACGCAGCCCCGCCACAGCCCCGGCGGCCGCCGCCCCGCTCGCCTCCTCTCCCGCCGGCTCCCGGCGCTCGCCTCCGCCGCCTGCCGCAAACTTTTCGGGGGACACAGGACTGAGCGGTGAGAGGGGCGTTTTTGTTTCCTCCCCCCCCACTCCACCCCCCCATCTCTGCGGAGGTCCGGGGTGATTTCACGCTCCCCAGCCCTCGGTGCGTGCGGAGCATCAACTCCAGCAGAGTGTGCCAGGCGGCAGCGGGGAAGCCCGGCAGACTCGGCGGCCTCCAGGAGGAAAGCGCGGACACCGGTGGGGGCCGGCACCTGCCCCCTGCTCCCTGCAACCCCCGAGGCCCCGAGGCCTGGGCGGCAGCCGCCTCTCCGGCAAGCGGCGGGGCAGCGAGGCAAACGCATCCCGCGGGGCGAGGCTGCCCGAGGGATCTGTGCGGGGAGGCGGCCGGCGGGCCGCGGGGCGGTCGCTGTCGCGCGTGGGCCGGGCGGCTGGCGCCCAGGATGTA